CGGGCCATGGAGGAGCACTGCTTACTGGCTTGCTCTTCTGGCCTGTGCTCAGCCCGCTTTTTTACACAACCCAGGACCACCTGTCCAGGGGTGGCACCACCCACAAAGCACTGGGTCATCCTACATCACTCAACAATTAAGAAAATACTACACAGGCATGTCCACAGGCCAGTCAGATAGAGGAGTTCCCCGATTGAGGTTCTCTCGTCCTGGGAGTGTCAAGTTGACAACCGAAGCAATCCAGCACACCAGTCATTTGGCTGTTTGCTCTTGGCCTGTCTCTCTCCCACCCCATTTCCTGCACTTTGCTCTGTGTTGCAGGGAACTACATTAAGCATGTATTTATTATACATATTAGCAGATTTACCCGTGACGTTTCCATATATGCATGTGTTCGCATATATTGTGCTTTGTTTGCCTCTGCCTTGCCTAATACGCCCTTGCTTGCCCACCCTGGTCCTTCTAATTTCCTACAAATGACAGTATTTTGTTCTTTATGGTTCAATAATATTCTGGTAGATATCCCATATTTTCTTCATCCATTTATTTGCTGTCAGATACTTGGGCTGATTCTTCATCCTGGTCATTGTGAATACTGCGACAGTAAACATGGGTGTGCAGGTATCTCTACTGCTGACGTCATTTCCATCAGGTGTATTTCTAGGAGTGGTTTAGCAGGATCATGGACAAGCTCTGTTTATAGCTTTGTGAGGTGCCTGCGTACTGGTTTCCATAGTGGCTGTACTAATTACATTCCCACCAACAGTGTATTTATCTTTGCACCGTGCTTGTTCATTTTTGATGATAGCTGGTCTGATTGAGTGAGGTGGAATCTCAGTGCAGACCTGCAGTAGGAAGCTACGCTTTGCCGGTTCCCTCACCAGCCGGCTGTTGATGTTTGACCAAGGGCAACACTACGGAGTGAATATTTGTGGGCCCCTCGCCCAGTTCATACACTGAATCCCAGTCCAGACCAGATCTAAGCCTCCAAAACTGGGAGAAATGTGTGTGTGCTTTAAGTTACCCAGTCTATGTCTTTTTCTCACAGAAGTTCATGCAGATTGGGCAGGGGCACTGGAGGAAGACTCTCCTGTCTATCTTCTGCAGACACATTTCTTTCGTGGCCCCCGCTTTTGCTTGACAGATTCTATCTCCCTGGCTCCAGCAGAGAGCTCAGCTTTCAGATTCCACCTTCCTTCTTGGCCTCCAGCCCACCTTTGCTCATTTCAGAGTGCCTCCCCATTCAATGTTTGTAGACCACTTCCTGTATTCCATTACTTGGGCTAAAATATAACTAGATAGGCTTTTGTTTCCCTGACTAACATTTGAGTGGTGCAAAATCCAGCTACATGTAGTTGATTTGAGAGTATTGTCTCAGAAGACTTGTTTTCACTGGTTAGTGTAAAAGAAATCCTGTATTGCTGACAGATCATTGGTAAATCCATCTAAAAATCAACAGACAATAAAAAGGCACTGGAGAAGCGTTAGTTGCAAATTCATAGTGGTGATTAAAAAATCTGACTTTGGAGTTGGTTCATCCTGCCAAAGATAGTCATTTAATGCGCACTGTATAAAAAGCTCTTGAGAGAGAGCTGTGGGCAGAGGTCAGAGAAGTGAGGCAGCTTATGAAATGCAGCTGAAGCAGTCTTTTTTATGTGTATGTTGTATGTGCATCTGGTGTGTACATGTGAGTGCAGGTGTGAGCACTCAGGAGCCCATATGAAAGTCAGAGCAGGATTCAGGTCAAACTCTATCAGTATCTGCCTTACTGCCTTGAGGCAGGGTCTGTTCCTGAACTAGAAACTCTCAGTTACAGCTTGGCAGGGTGGTCAGCCCTCTCAGGATCCTTCTGTCTTTGACCCTCAATGCTGGGGTTACAGGGATGTGCAACCATGCCCAGTTTTTCTGAACCAGTCATGCAGAACATTAACCCAGTGCAGCGTGAATGCATGTGAGCTTGGCAGAGGGAAGAGCCTCAAGTAGTTCTTGCTTCCTTACCTTGGGAGACAAAAGTTTTGTATCTAGCGGACATCTGGGTTCAAACCTCAGCTTTCCAATTTTTTGAAGTAAGATGCTCTGCGTCTGAGCCTCAGTTTTTTTGTATGAAAGCAGATAGTCATGGCGACCTCACAGAAACACTGTGACGAGCCTAGCATCATTTCTTCTGTACAGTCGACCAGTTTTAGTTCCTAAGTATATGACGATGTGGGGTAATGCCAGCATGCTTAACCCTCCCCCTCAACTTCCTTCAGCTTTTGTAATTGGGTACTTATCAGTTTCCCGCAAGGCTTCTCCAGGCCCGGTGATTCTGATGATCTGGTAAGCACACAAAAGGAAAAGCACATGCAGCTGCCATGGAATACTCAGCAGTGCAGTGTCGCAGAAGATGAGCACTTCCGTGAGCAGCAGACACAGAGTTCAAGCTCCTTGATTAACCAGTTGCCTATCAGGAAATCCCAAGGGGGTTTTTGATTGTTTGCTGTTTAATTAAATCCCTGAATGCCTCCAGATGGTGAGATTGGCTCGTATAGAGGGGGGAGAGCAGCTGTGATGGGTGCAGTGGGCAAGGGATATGCTCCCTGGGCCTATGATGTTCAGAAGGCAAGCTGGAGATGGGCCATCCTAGACCTAGCACTCAGTTTCCACATGCCAGTAGTGACTCTGAACTTGAGGCCTTGCAGTCCCAGCAGCTTTCTTTGTCCTGTCTTTCTACTGCTGACCACAGTTTAGCTTTAGTCCAGGATGCTTTCCAGTTCATCAAACAATCTTCCAGAGGGCATTTTCTAAGACAACCAATCCAGTGACCATGCAAAAATCCAAAGCTTTATAAGCTTATTAAAGTGCTTAAACTCATCTTAAATTTGAAACCATTTTGAAATTTGTTAAGCTCATTTAAAATTTGTTAGTACATTTATTCTAAATCCTCCCACCCCCTGGTCTCATAAAACTTTGTAGTTACTTTGGCAAGCCAGTCATGTGATAGATGAATAATGAGGTGATACAGTGACATTTTATGAATCACAGTAGCCAGTATTTAAGAGATAAAGGGGAAGGGTAGGAGCAGGTGGTCCAGAGACCACCAGTGTTCACAGGTATTAACATAGGCCTTTTAACACCAGAGGGGGATTAAGATTCTATTAAAAGTGAAACACTATGGAGAAATAATTTAAAAAGAGTATCAGATCTAATGGAAAAAGCATCCTAGTTGGAGTCTGGAGTGTGCCATTTGAGTGCTGTGCTTACCACTAGCCATGTGACCTAGGAATTTTTGTTGTTTGTTTTTGAGACAGGGTCTCCCTGTAGCCCCAACTGTCCTGGAACAGGCTGGCTTTGATCTTTTAGAGATCTGCCTGCTTCTGCCTCCCACATGCTGGGATTAAAGGTGTGCACCACCACACATGGCAATTTTATTTATTTATTACTATTTTTACATATTTATTTATTTTATGGGTATGAGTGTATTGTCTGCATGTATGTAAGTTCACCCATGTTGTGCAGTACCTTCGGAGGTCAGAAGAGGGCATCGAATTCCCCTGGAGCTGAAGTTATGGATGTGTGTTGGCCACATGTGGGTGCTGGGAACTGAATCCAGGTCTTCTGCAAGAGTAGCCAGTGCTCTTAACTGCTGAGCCATCTCTCCAGCACCTATTTATTTTTTAGATAAGGTCTCCCTGCAGCCCCAGCTGGTCTGGAGCTCACTATGTAGACCAGGCTGGTCTCCAACTTGTTTCTCCAGTGCTAGGATTACAGGTGCATGTGACCATACACAGTGTGAGCTGTCTTTTTAAACTTTAAGCTTTAGTTTTCTGATTTGAATGGTGTGAATACAGTCTTAAAGGTTGTTTTGCCAACTGTTAAGATGCTTCATAAATGTTTGAGTAGCTATGAGAGTGTTATTTATACTCCGATATGATTACATTGACATTCTACATCATTGAGTAAGTGATTCTTTTGTCAAAACTATGGTACACCTAAGTCAACATATTTATAAAGGGAAAGATCCTTTCAGGGACAGAAGTACTGACATGAAGGATAAAATCTCAGTTTTTATTTTTGCTATTTTCTGAGGAGGTATAACCTGGCTTTTAGAAGATGAACCATGGGCCAGATGAAAGGGCACTGGAAGCCACAATGCATTGAGTCTGAACCCCAGCTGTTAAGACTGTACTACAGCATTTTACGGGGTTCCTGTTGGTTAACTGTCTCAGTGCTGATGCGCCCTTCTCTTTGGAATGAGGTGGATAGACCCCGGGGATGAGGAGGTCGGTTGTGCATGTGCTGTTCCCTGTACATCTACTTCCATTGCAGCAGAGGACATGGCACCCAGGCAGCTGGGGCCTGGGTTGTGCTTAGTGCTCATGCAGCAGTGTTCTGGGATGGTAGTCTAGCCTGAAATGAAATGCTGTTGGAAATCCTTGATGACACTCACATGTGCACTCAGGAACCTTAAAATGTGCAGAAATGGGTCATGGCTGTAGCTTCTGGGGATCAACTTCGAGGGTTAGCTCATCTTAGGGAAGCTTGGCAGTCTCTCCTGAGGTGGCCTTTGCGGAGTCTTCCTTTCCCTCTCCCTCTGTCTTCATCACTGTCTCTTGAATCCTCTTACTCTTTTCTGTTTTCCGTTCTCCACATTTGCTCTATTTCTTTTCATTTCTGTCCTTCCCATCCCCCCACTTCGTTCTCATTATCTTTTGCTCTCATTGTTTGGGGCCAAAGGATCTTTCTCATACTGTTTGCAGACACCTCCCCCTGGTTGTTCTTCATATTTCCTGACCTTATGACTGTGGTCTGAATCTTAGCATTCAAGGTAGGTACGTGTTTCCCTATCAGGGAGATGGCATATGGATTTTGAATGACTTTCTTTGTAGACTAATTTTCCTGATGGTGGGGAGGGCACATGCTGGGCAGCTGGTAGCAGGAAGCTCTGCTAAGCATTCTCTTCAGCTGTGGATGTATTTTTCCTCTTTGATGGCTGAAGGCTATTGTCTTTCGGATTACAGATTGAGGAAACTCGACTAAACATCGACAAGATCTCAGAGCATGTGGAGGATGCTAAGAAACTCTACAGCATCATTCTCTCTGCACCGATTCCAGAGCCAAGTGAGTGCTGACTGAGTTGAGTCACTCTGTGCGGATCTTTTGCACTGGGGCTGAGCCAGGCTTGTTTCTTCCTTTCTGGGAACAGCAGGGGAGTGTATACCATCCTACCCTTCTTTTGCTCTCATTTCTGGAGACTGTCTGCTCTTCTCATGAACATTGAACCATTGGCCAAGCTCCTCTGCTTCCCAGCTCATACTTTCTGTGACTAGCAGTGACTCTTCCTGCCTCTCACATGCCCCCTGCTCTGTCCCACCCCTGTGTCTTTGTTTGTATTCTTTCTACTGACCAAAATGCTTTTTCCACCCCTGTACAAATTCTGTGCTCTGTCCCACCCCTGTGTCTTTGTATTCTTTCTACTGACCAAAATGCTTTTTCCACCCCTGTACAAATTCTATAAATCTATTTTTATTACTATTATTTTTCCTTATGAGGTATTCTGGGATGGTCCAAGTTCCAAGGAATCCCTCTCATCCTTTAACTTGCATTTGTTACTGTGCTGAGGCAGGCTTTTGTTCTTCTGAATTGATCTATATTTGCAGAGTACAGTTTAGAGCTGTATTTTATGACCCTTTAGAGAAGGGAACAACCTGATGGTTTAATCCTGCTCTTTACCTCTTTCAGTGACTCTCCAATTCCTGAAGATAAAAACTGGAACAGCTCAGAAGAGCATGTAGGGATTGCTCAGGCGTGCCCCTTCCTTCCTCTATCCTTTTCTCCTGCTGCCCTTGCCCTGTGCTACTGTATTTTAGCTGCACTGACCTCTGACTGTTCCTTAGCATGGCTTGTTCCCTCATGTTGTTATGTGTCATTCCTTCTCCCTGGGACTCTGCTCTTAGTCTCCTTTGCTACCTAGCTAAACTGCAGTGTTTCTTTCTTTTTAATGACTTCTTCACTTTCCTAACCTGTAGTCTTTTGTTGAGACTCAGTCCTACTATCTGTCTTCTGAAGCATTTCTAGGCCCCTCTGGCTGTTCTAGGGGCTCTCTGTAACTACTCTTCCTATGCTTTGATGAGAAATTAAACTACTCCACGCTGCACATTAGGGCTGCTTCTTTATCCCCCTTCCCCTATTAGACTTGAAGTTCTTTGAAGGCCAGATATACGTCTTCTCTTGAATTCTTCAGTTTCTCACTCAGTTCTGAAATGAGTGGTTGTAGCTATTGTTTATTTTGCTCCTTGCAGTCCTGCATCCATTATGAGGATGCTGCTTTGTACAGTAGCCAGGACAGCTCTGGGGATATAGTAGGCATATCGTAAATACTTGTTTCATTCTAAGTTGGTGGGCTTTGGTTGAAATCTCTTTTCCCCAGAACTTCCATAGAACCCTTTCCAGCCTTCTGAGGGGTAAGCTGTCATGGTAAGGCAGACTGTTTTCTCTGAAGCATGGCTTGCAATGGGAGGCTAATAAAAAAAGCAGATGGTAGAACTTTTACCCTGGTATATTTATGTTCTTCAGGTCTGAAATGGTGTGCCTGGAAAATGCCTTTTATTTTAGTTAATAATTTTATTTTGGGTGCAAGGGATTGAACTCAGGGCTTCATGCATGCTAGGCATGTGATCTACCTCTGAGCTAGCCTGAAAATGACTTAAAAAAAAACAAAACAAAAACTCTCTGTAATTATGCTGACAGATTCCAGGAACACACTGAGACGAACACTGGCAGTGGGTATCTGAGCGAACTTCTGCCTCCTCTGCTGATGTTGCTCCTGGAGCAGTTAGTCCTCTCCTCTAACTGAGTGTACTTCTTGTGTTTACCCAGAAACCAAAGAGGACCTTGAAAAGCTCACAACTGAGATCAAGAAGAGAGCCAGCAATGTTCGGAATAAGCTGAAGAGTAAGCAGAGAACTTGGGGAACAAGCTGCTCCCCGCCACCCCATCACAGTGCCCCAGGGCCCACCTCTTCTAACTGCCACCCAGCGTAGTGGAAGGGACACCACTGCAGGCTTGGGCAATGTCCCTGCCTAGAAATTTAGTTTCTCTTGGATCTGCACTGTAGTGAAAGGGCTTAGAGGAAGACTTAAATGCGCTTTCAGCTGCTGACTTGGTCTTTCTAGCTCAGTCCTTCAGTTTTCTCTTATGGGTTTGTTTCCCCAGCACTTATATACATGTAGAAGGTAATTGTAGAAATACCTGTCATTCAGTTAGCACATTTCTTAGAGTACCTTCTCCTTTCCACCTCCTCTTCTCGTTGGAGCACAGCTTGGTGAAGCTGCTGTTGTAGATTGAATTCTCCTCAGGATCCCAGAGTCTTACTTACTCCCACAGCTGTAATCTCTATTCTTGTCCAAACTACTCATTGAGTATGAGCTTTTGGTCTGAGAGGCAGTCAGCATTATTCCCCCCGCCCCCCCAAATAAATATTTTAATGGATGTGAAGCAGGGCACAGGGAACGGCTTCCAAAGTAATGACAGTGTGGCCGCCACTGTGCCAAGCAATTCCTGTGCGTTTATATTGAATCTTCATATTGGGGCTGTGAAGGAGGTACAGGTTGCATCTCTAATTTGAAATTCTGAAATCCCAAATATTCTAAATTTTGAGCACTAATATGACACTGCAAATAAAAAATTTCACACTTAACCTCACAGATTTACTCAGCATACAGTATTACATTATCTTCCAGATATAAGGTGTATATGAAGCATAAATGAATCCCATGCTCTGTCCCCAACACATCTCATTACATACATGCAAATATTCCAAATTCTGATAAATTCTGAAATCTGAATCACTTCTGGTCCAAACATATCAGATGTGGGGTACTCGGCTTGTATTGTTTCCTTTTCCATTTTATTTTATTTTATTTTTGATCTTTTTGAGACAGGGTCTCCCTGTAGCCCTAGCTGACCTAGAACTCATTACGCAGACCAGGCTGGCTGGCCTTGGTCTCACAGAGAGCTGCCTGCCTCTGCCTCCTGAGTGCTGGGATTAAAGGCGTTGACCACAATGCTTGGCACGTACCTTTTCCATTTTATAGATAAGAGTACAGAAACATTAAGAAAGGCTACATGGTTTTCTCTAGGTCACATGGCTAGTCAGTGGCAGGACAAGGATTTGAGTCTCAGTCTTTTGATGGCCTGACCCACACTGTTAGCCATTTTGCTGAGACCCGGTAACAGCAGAGGCTGTTGAGAACAGGCCTGTGGCTCATGGGAGTGGAAACTGACCTTTTGCAATTGCACCTTCCTGTTGTTCCATCCTTGTGGCCTCTGTGTGAGAGGATGGGTAAGGAGGGCTGTGCGAAGCAGGGTGCTTTGCGGAAGGAAGGGCAGGTGTGTTGCTTAAATAACCCTCCTCTCACTCCAGGCATGGAGAGGCATATCGAAGAAGATGAAGTCCGGTCATCAGCAGACCTTCGGATTAGAAAATCCCAGGTAGGCTTGTCCTGGTTCAACAGTCATCTTCATTAACTTCACCAGTCCTTTACTTATGATTTTTCTTAATTGTGGATTTTAAAAAATACAGTTCTTATTGTGTTGGAATTCAATTTGAGGAATTAGGAAAGGGGAACTATCCTGGTTGAAGCACTGGTCATGACCAGTGTCCTGCCCATTTGTCTCTCTCACACTCTGCTTCTTTCAAAGAGGCTCCTCAAGTACGTCCTCAGATTCTTCAGAGCACAGCTTCTGTTCCCCCTTGTTTACAGGCAAAACAATTGATGTATTCCCTTCCCTCTAAAGATTGTTAGTTATTAGTTGCCCAGTTTGGAGCTATGTACCTTGGAGTCACCAAAGATCTGATCTTTGTCCTATAAGAATGGACATGAAGCCAGGGATGGTGGCTCATCCATATGATCCCAGCATTTGGGAAACTGAAGCAAGAGGACTGCTAAAAAGTTTAAGGCCAGCTTGCCTGGACTGTGCTCTGAAACCATTTCAAAAACTGTGGGGGCTGGGGACAGAGAGGAAAGACCGGATATAACATTTAGGTAGTGTAATAAATTATAAGACCCAACAGAACAGTGTAAGGAGGACATAATTAAATATGTGGTGCTCTCAGTTCTAAAAGATGTGATGAAGAACTGGGGGTGGCTGGAGAAGACTGAGCCTTGGGGTAGGCAAGAGAGCCATTTGGGACAGGCTAAGGAGGTAGTTTCCTCTCTTGGAGAGTAAAGAGGAAATGGGATCAGGGACAGGGCATGATGTGCATTCAGGGGAGTGGTGGAGATGGGATGGTGGTAGTGGTGGAGATGGCGTTGCAGATGGTGGTGTTGGTGATGGTGTGGTGGTGGTGATGGTAATAGTAATGGTGGTCGTAGGGGATGAGTGCAGGATAGATGTAAAGGGAACAACTTATTTTTGAGAAAAAAGTTTGTTTTAGGGTAGCAGATGCTGAAGTTTTGGTAGCTAATGCAGCACCACATTCCAGAGATCTTTGAATACTAGTGGATGGAATTTGGAGCAGATCCAGCAGCTGATAGTTATTTTTTCCTGCTGCAGCATACTAGGGGTATGTGACAGTACTCTGGATGTGAGTGGGAAGAAGCAAGAGGCTGGGAAGTCCCTAGTTAGGGTTTTGTAATGATTTTGGTCTGAATTTACATGGTGGTAGTGAGTTTGGAAAGAGAGAAAACAGGAGGACTTGATGTTGTGCAAGGAATAAAAATTATTATGAAGGTCTTAGGCATCCAGCACCAGTGAGAGAGAGTATTTACTTATAAGCAAGGACTTTGAGGCTGTCATGGTGAGAACTGAAGGATCTTTGATAGGCATTGTTTATGGGAAGGATGTTTGACAACTTTAGCCAAGGTTAATGGCAGACAAATTACTACTGGGGTCTCAGATTCTCAGTGATTCTTTTTGACTAAAAATTTTGATGTGAGTTCAGTATATCAGGTGATGGAAAGGTAATTGAAAACTGGGATTAAAGGTGTGTGCCACCATACCCAGCACAAAAACAAATTTTTTCTTTAAAAATATTTTTTATTATTTTTTATTTTATGTGTATTCGTGTATTGCCTGCATGTAGGTAAGTGCACCTCCAATGCCCATGGAGAACAAAAGAGGCTGTCGGATTCCCTGGAACTGGCGTTACAGTTGTTAGCTGCCATGTGGGTGCTGGTATTCAAACCCAGGTTTTCTGCAAGAATAGCCAGTGTTCTTAACTGCTGAGCCATCTCTTCAGCCCCAAAATAAATTTTAAAAAAATTAGAAAAAGGGCTGTGGACTCTTCCCTTGGCACCAGTGTGGGAAAACCAAAATATTGGGTCTTGTATTTTGTCTTTTGTTTCCGAGCCCAGAGCTGCTATAGATTAGGCTTTGTAGGGATGGGGTGAGGTTTTACACCAGTTACAGGACCTACCCCTCCCTCACCTCACGGGGGTCTACTCATTTAACATTGTTCCCGCAGCACTCTGTCCTCTCCCGGAAGTTTGTGGAGGTGATGACCAAATACAACGAGGCTCAAGTGGACTTCCGTGAACGCAGCAAAGGGCGAATCCAGCGGCAACTTGAAATTAGTATGTGTTTGAAGTTTGGCCTGTGCCCTTCTCTGCCTTTTCCTGCCATGTGGTTGTCCATTCCTTCATGAGATCCTGGGAGAACAACAGCATCCCTGCTCACGGCTTCTGCATTTTATTTTGTGCTCAAGCACAGGGCAGACTGATCCAGAATTCTGCATTGTAGGTTGAAAGTGGCATAGTTTTTAAGCCAAATATTTTATTCTTAAAAGGATCTGACACTTCTCACACCTAGAGGGGAAGCACTCACTAAGCAGTTGTTCTCCTGCATGCATCTTTTGGCTCTTACACAGAAAAGTACATTTATGAAGCAAAGGTGTAGTGCTAGTTGCTGTGAGGATTTTGGAAATGAATGAAGCTACACTGGTTAGGAATTTAGTAATAATGGAAGGGCCTTGCAGGGGTGCTTCAGGTGGAGGAACTGTGTGAACAAAGATGTTACCAAGAAAAAGCAAATGTATTTGTTTAGGAGTAGCAGATTGTCCAGGGTTGGGGAAAAGGATGTGTTTGGAGTTTCAGTATAAGGTTGAGGGAGGGCTGCCCATGAACCGTGCACCATAATGAAGGCCTGGGACTCCCTGGTGTAGTGCATGGGGCTAACAGATAGTCCGCAGGGGAGTTGACTGCTGATAATGTTACAGATTGAGTGAACTGGGAGAGAAAGCAGGAGAGTCTGGACTGTGTTGGGAACGTTTTGGGGAAATTTTAAGATGGTTGTGTTTTGATCTTATGTTTGATATTCTTTTTTAAAAAGCTGGCAAGAAGACAACAGATGAGGAGCTGGAAGAGATGCTGGAGAGTGGTAACCCTGCCATCTTCACTTCTGGGGTGAGTGACCAAGGCATCACAAACAGGGAGGGTCGTGGAGTTTCACTGCTCTAATAGGTGCAGCCCGGCAGGCGCGCGCACACGTGTGTGTGTGTGTGTGTGTGTGTGTGTGTGTGTGTGTGTGTGTGTGTATGTGTGTATGTGTGTGTCTGTGGCAGAGCTCATCTAGCATGTGTAAAGGCTGGGGGCTGGGGTGCTGTTTATCGCTAGGGTGGCTGATGTGATGGCTTGTCTCTATGTGGCCTTTCATAGATCATCGACTCCCAGATTTCCAAGCAAGCCCTTAGTGAGATCGAGGGACGGCACAAGGACATTGTACGGCTGGAGAGCAGCATCAAAGAGCTCCATGACATGTTTATGGACATTGCCATGCTGGTGGAGAATCAGGTAGCTGGCTGGGAGAAAGGGGAAGAAAGCTCAGGTTCCCAGAGAACCTGGAGGAAAGGACTTCTGGAGGTCAGGCAAGGGAGGGTGGGAGACTTAGGGAATTTGCATCATGGAGCATTGGAATTCTCATGATATGGGAAGAGGTGCATTGTTATTAAGTGCTGACATTTTCAGCCACCTCAGTCTTGTCATTTTTCCCTGATACTTTGGAATCACAGTCACTCTAGTTAGTAACAGGATTTGATATGTTATGTCGAGAACCTAGTTCACCCAGCCTCAGAATCTTTTTTTTTTTCCAATTAAAGACAAGGGTTCTTGGGCTGGGGATGTGCAGTTCATTTAATAGAGTGCCTGCCTAGCATGCACGAGGCCTTGGGCTTAATCCCCCTTTTGGCCCAGTTCTGCTGCTGGGCATAGTGGTACCTGCTTGTAATCTTAGCACTTGAGAGGAAGAGACAGGAGGATCAGGAGTTTAAGCTTACCTTCAACTACATAGTATGTTTAAGAGGCAGCTTGAACTACATGATACAGGTCTTAATGGCAATGCCTTAAACACCCAGTCTCCCAGTACAAATTGTTTTACCTAGTTTCTCTACTTCTAGATGAAGCAGTTGAGGGTCAGAGGTTAAGTAAGTACAGGAGGTATGACTTGAATGCACATCCCAGTTGTGGCTCTTTCCCCCTCTGAAAACATGTTCTTCCAGTTCATAGTGGAACTTAAAAACAAGTTTAAAATTATTTTTCCATTTCTTTCTCTGTTTTTCTAAAAATGTTGGCACTTTTTGCTAAGAATCAAGAGCAGACATGAATGAAGAATTAGTAAAAGAATATTTACTGAAAGCTTGAAACACTCGTGGACTTGGTTTGGCAGTTTGCTCATCCTGCAGACGTGCCTGCTCAGGGATGGGATTCTGCCTACATATGGTGTTGTTTCACAGTCAGGTGGTCCCTGGTTCCCAGGATAGGGCTAAATATGCTGCAGGGTCATGGCTGTTCTACTTTTATAAGGAACTTCCAGCTGTTCAGCCATCTGGACAGATCAGGAACGGCTTGCTTGGTAGACAGATGCAGAACCCATTTGGAGCCCAGGCCCTGGCTGACTGGCTTTTGATGTCAGCTCTCTTCCACAGCCTAGTGCCTTTCTCCACCTGCTTCTGGCCTCTGAGACCCTTTCTCAATCCCTCCATTCCCACTGTTTTCTCCCCCCACACTGCTTTGCCGAGGATCTGGTTTGAGTTTCAAGTGATGGTAAGTGCCTTTTTCTGTTTATAGAGAGCCCTACAGCAATAGAATGGGGTGGAGAATGGTCTGGATAGGTGAAGGGTATTCCTAACCTCAGATGTCCAGGAAGTAATTGGAGTGACCAACTTCCTTGACAGGAAATAAAAGCTGGAAAATGATTGGCAGTCTTAGTAAAAGACTACTATCTAGAGGGGAAGATAAAACCAAATAGCATGCCACTTAAGGGGCATGGATAGTCCTCTTGAAGAAAGCAGATGTTCTCAAACTCTGGTTCTTACTGAATCCCTTTTGTGTGTCAGGGACTATTTTACAGTAGTGAACAAACTCACTTTGGGCTAAATGAAGTGGGTTCAGGTCCAAATGGCCTAGAAGAGGCCAGCATCCTAGTGATCTAAACATATGAGGTCTTATTTTGGTTCCTCCTGCTTAGAAAATAATAAAATTAAATAAAGGAACACGTGGGAGGAGGAATTCCTGAGCATATTCACATGTAGTTACTAAGCATTAAGAAAATCTGTTTTAGATGTCCAGCATAGAGAAATAATTCCATGAATATTTATCAGATGAGTGACTGCTACCAAGGACTTGGGAATTACAGGTGCCACATGGGAAAGGTGAAAGTGCACCCCACAGAAGGCCGTGCTGCAAGGTTTCTCTATGTCCTCTTGGCACTGAAGACTATAGAGTCCCTTCCCCACATTAGCTGTGGCTGTGGTGGATGGCCTAATAGGGTGTGAATTGTGTCTTTTCAGGGTGAGATGTTAGATAACATAGAATTAAATGTCATGCACACAGTGGACCATGTGGAGAAGGCACGAGATGAAACCAAAAAAGCCGTGAAGTATCAGAGTCAGGCTCGGAAGGTGAGGTCTTCCTGTCTTCCGAGAAGAGAGGCCATTTTGTTTCCTACTGCTCTTTGTCTCTTCCCTCTGCCTGTCTCTGTTGCCACCACATCTTGCACTTGGGGAAAGGGAGCCATGATTGATCGTATTGAGAACAACATGGACCAGTCAGTGGGCTTCGTGGAGCGGGCTGTGGCAGATACCAAAAAGGCTGTCAAGTATCAGAGTGAAGCCCGGAGGGTGAGCGCCTTAGTCCCCGCTGTTTGCACTGCTCTATGTCTCTTGTCCCTTTTAGACTGGTCCGTGAGCCCACGTCTTCCCTCTTGTCCTGGCATCTTTCAAACCCCTTCTGTAGCCTTTCCTAGACTCTCTGCCCACCCTTCCTTCCCAGGGTGCCATGCATGGATCTGGCTCTCACATGCTTTTTGCCCCAGAACCCACACTTGAGAGGCAGCCCTGCAGGATGGACGCGTGGGCTAGGTGCTGCTGCTCGTCCCCTGAATGTAGCTCATGAACCTTTCACAGTGACACTTACCCCCTGATCTTCAGAAGCCTCTTCCACTCCGGTATACCAGTTTGTCTCTTTTGCTGTGAATTGTACCTAGCACTGTGCTAATTATAATGTAAACCTCACCTAGTCATGGAAGCACCCAGTTTCTCTACTTCTGTATGGCCTCCTTAGCTTCAGGCCACCCATTAAGTTCAGGAGGTGTGACTTGAATTCACATCCCAGTTGTGCTCTTTCCACTGTGTTGTCGTGTTTGCCTATGACTCATGAACTAATAAGCTTCTGCCCTCACTGACTGTGATCTCCAGCTACAGTGACTTTTGCCTTTCACTGTTCTTTACTACTCTTGGGCTTTGATATTTTTATTCTCAAATTCTTTATCTTCCAACTGTATCTCTTGCTTATGCAGAGATCCAGGGAGTTGGGAAGTTATTTTACATGATGCTGGATCACTTTCTGACAAATAGTCAGTATTCGTGGCCTGACATGTAGAACCGCACTTTAAGGGGATAGATAAATAGGAGTCAGAAAGTAGCACTATGTCAGAAACGGGTTTATAATCCATCTTGGAAAAGCAAATTTGGTCACTTTATAGCTTGGTCAAGTGCTGCTTAGAGACCCAATGGTACTGGCTCTTACTGTGAGTTTACATATGCAAGATGTCTGTGGGCTGAGAGCTAGGAGATGCTCCCTGTTTCTACCTGCTGGCACTGCTAGGCAAGAAGTTTAAGAAATGTGAACTATCTTAAAATAATTTTTGTATAGAGATGTATGCTTCTTACTTGGATTAAGAAGGTATTTTCTTTGTAGAGATGAGAAGGTTGAAGTTTAGAGGAGTTGCTATTTGTGTGTGTGTGTGTGTGTGTGTGTGTGTGTGTGTAAAATAATGATTTTTTTTTATTCCTTTCTCCAGAAATTGATAATTATCATTGTGGTAGTGGTTGTGTTGCTGGGCATTTTAGCATTGATTATTGGACTGTCCGTTGGGCTGCGATAACAGCAGCCCAGGGGCTGCTGCACTGAAATGTAAGTACATGAGTGCTTCTGGGGGCTCTGGATCGGCTCCTCCTGCCAACTAGCCTGGGATTTCAAAATTTTACCTATTTTTTTCCTAATGACTGTCCTTGGGCATGCTGAGCTTTCAACCTTTGGTAGCCTATGGATTTGTTCATCTTTAAAATTCCGTTCTTGGGATATGCCAGCTCTTCTGTTTCCTGGCCTGCAGAGGCTGTCCCAGCTTTGTCTTGTTATCTGTTTTTCACTTCTCCTGGAATACTTGAGCACCTCATTCTGACTTTCTTCATCCAGGGAAAATGAGTAGATATGGGATACAGTCTGGGAGCTGTCTTCTAAAGTCTTACTGGCCTTCGTGGGTTTGGGACTTGGCTTTCCATGCATTTTTCAATGTAATTGAAGCTCTGTATTGTGGCTTGGTGTCCTTATGAGGTTTCTGACTGAATGGTTAGCTCTTAAATAGGGTACTGGCTAACATTTTTGAGTACTGAGTTGTGGTAAATAGTCCATTAAACACCTCATATATATCACACTGAATCCTCACAACGCTTTTTTTGTTTGTTTTTGTCTTTTTGAGATAGGGTCTCCCTGTTGCCCCAGGTGGCCTGGAACTCATTATGTAGACCAGGCTGGCCTTGAACTCACAAAGATCCACCTGTCTCTGCCTCCCAAGTGCTGGGACTAAAGGTGTATACCACTACACCTGGCAAAAAAAAAAAAAATTATCTATTTTTATGTCTATGAGTATATTGCCTGCATGTTTGTAAGTGCACCCATGTCATGTAGTGCCTGAGGAGGTCAGAAGACAGTGTCGGATCCCCTGGAACTGAGTTATAGACAGTTGTTAGCTGCTGTGGGGGTGCTAGGAATTGAACCCAGGTACTCTGCAAGAGCAGCCAGTGCTCTTAACCACTGAGCAATCTCTCCAGCCCCCCAACACTTTCATGGGACAAGTTATAGTCGTCTGCACGCTTTATACGTAGAAAAGCTCAGCCTGAAAGAGGAGAGGGCCAAGTTCACACTAATAGTGGACCTAAGCGAGCACATCCCTGTATCTTAGTTTCTCTTTATAAATAAGGTAGCACTTACTTTGTGTAAAGTCTGGAGAACTCTAGGCTATCAACCAAAATGTGATGAATAGGACACAGCTGGCTACTAAAGCAGGGTTGATTCCTTAGCATGGGAAAGATGACCTAAGAGTCTTTGGGAAAAGCTTATAAAATACAGAAGATGAAAATTAACTTGTAGTATTATTTCTTGTAACATGTGGTGGCTCACACACACCGTTTTATGCAGTTCAGACTGTATTAACTGTAGTGCTTTACCCATTTAGAGAATCATATGGGTCATTCCACATCACTGAAATCTCATTGTAAATCTAATTTTCAGCCTGAGAACATTTTAACATTTCTTCAGTGTTGGAGTTCATTATTTTGTTATCATTAACTGTGACTAACCTTACATTTCCCTTGTTTTCTCTTTGTTATAAATTCAGAATTTAGATGACTGAGGGAACAGATAGAAACCTTTTTGAGACCCGATACAGACGTCCATGTTCACACCTAAAGCTGACCCTTCATTTTACTTCTGCCCCAGCCCTGTATGCCATTGTAACTCTCCATTCCATTTGAGGAGGACCTGAAGATTAGATTATGAAACCATAAACATTTTAGCTTCATCTGGAGCTAAGCAGCCATGTGGTGGTCCAGCTCTCATGGATATTTAATGTTGGTTCTTTTTCTCCCCTTCTTTTTTCTGATACTAGTCTACTCCTTGATGACTTTTGCTTATAAAATTTTAGTTTCATGCTGAATCTTAATTATCTCATTGTAAAGTATGCTTAAAAAAAAAGTAATAGTGTTATCTTTACATATACTTGGATGAAAGATGCCTTGTAAATTCATGGTGTCCCTTAATCTTCATTCCCAATTCCAAGAATTCAGAATGTAAAAGAATAATTTTTGTGGAGTTAACTCTTCAAAGATGATTAATTAGTTGACTAAGAAGACTGCTACAACATTAAATTGCTGAGAAGTGGCTTAATTCACTTTATTCCATATTCCCTAATACAGGCAAGATTGTTACTTAGGTCCGGGCTAACCCTCTCCCATGTCAACCCGTGAGGGAGGGTCATCTGTGTTTACCCTCTCCAGTTGCATGCCAGCTACAGTGCTAAGACACCACCCATGACCCTAATTTATAGATGTGGAAGCTCCTTGAAGGCCCTGAGGACAGCTGGACAAGCTACCATGGCTTCTAAGATGGAGCATCTGTGATACCACCTCTGAACATTCCCATAGCCTTTTTATTGTGCTTGTCTGCTTCTTGAGAAGCAGGGAGGGTTCCTGGAGAAGATTTGAATATTAGAGTGCTCATGTGCTAGGCAAAGTGTTTTCACCTAGTGATTGTGCGTCCCCCCACCCATACTTCCACAGGTGACAGTTTGTGTCAATAAACGGCCTAGATATTTTTTTGTCCTACTTCAAAAAACTTAGGACATTTTTAGAATTAGCATACAAAGTAATGGGTTTCATTATGGAATTTTTATACTTTTGTTGATCTTCCTAGCCCCCTTCTGGGGATCCCCTCCCCCCAGTAGCCCTCTATTCCCTTTCATGTCACATGTATTTTGTTTTGCACCCCCCCCATGGTCCCCTTTGCCTAGAGGTTTTTGTTAGTTCTCTAACAATAGGATCTTTATTTTGCTCAGCCAGTCTTGGGTTTATCTCCAGGCCATTTCAAGTTTAGTGCTGACTTCTACATTTTTTATGTGGTTATTTCTGAGCTTTGTGCTCCACCTTGTGACTAATTCCACCTGTTGCTCCTGACCAGCGTCCTGTGTACTGATCAGCTCCCCCTTTCCCTGCCTCTCTTAGAACCTGATTTCACTCCAGCCTGGCCTCCCTACTCTTCTCTCCAGATGGAAATGGAGTCTGAGTGGCCTTCCTAAGAATGAGGGGGACCTGTTCCTTTGTTTCCTTGTAACCATCCTGGGACCTGACTCAGCAAACAATTTACCTTTGGAGGAGTCTAAGCTACCTGATGCAACCCTGACTTTTCTTCAAAACCACCTCCTGCCCTAGCAGCTGAAGTACCTTCCCTCCTGGACAGAACCAGACCAGCTGTTTCTATCCTCTGGTGTGTCAAATTATGCCTTGCACCTTGGAAAGCTGACATGAGAGCAGCCCGAGGTGCTGTATTTCTACCTCATGGAGTAGTCTCCCAGAAATTGCAATGTACTTTCTAGGGGAGTCACTTTAACAAAGGAGAGGGACTCTTCTAAGTTTGGCAATAGGGCTTGGATCAGAGTCCTCTACCTGGCAGGTTGCCTGTCCCGATACATGGAGGATTGGCAGATGCTATATTGGTCTCAAAAGCTGGCTCATTTGAAATCCAACCTTTAATTAAGCTCTAAGTAAGTTCAGCTTGCAGGCCAATTTGATTGTTTGGATTCTCTTTACTCAATGAGAACTCAGGATGATACTCCTTTGAGGTGATCATCTGAAGACTGACTGTGGAATATTTGTTTCCATGTCTGAATCTTGGAAACTGGCTGTTCACTGTTAGAGAATCACTGTTTGTGAAGCCATTACCTTGAGGCCAAACATAACCAGGGATTTACAACTAGGCCTGGGACGAGGTGCTACAGTCTCAGCCCTAGAACTGTCTTATGAGACCAAGGAGTCAAGTGTTCCAGATACAATTTTGTAACTGTGTATGTGAGCTATATGTACATATTCATGTCTGCCTCTCAGGAAGTAGGAGACTAGAAGCAAAAGATACCATTACTTAAAAAAAAAGGTGACAGATGTAACAGAGCTAGGCTGAAAATGAGGTGAGGGATATGTGCGCCCCTGCAAATGAATCTGTAGAAATGTGATCTTCCCTTGTTGTCAAGAAGCTTGTTTTCTGAATGACTCCTGGGGGGAATCAAACCGGGGTAAGGGCTGTTGGTTCCTGTTGAACTTTTCTGCATAGCAGATAGGTTTAATATTTTAATACCCCTGCCTACAAGAACACCTCCAAACTAGCTGATGTCCATTCTCTGCTGGGAGACAGGAGATACAACAGAACAGCTCTTGTGCTACCTGGTTATTGAGCTTGAAAGGTTCTGTCTTCCCTAATTCTTATTATAATGGAGGAAGCAACAGACTGGCAATCTTTGTTTAGTGACTGTAGCCCAGTGGCAGGCCTGTTAGATTCTTGCTGGTCTCTGCCAGTATCCCTGATTTTGGGTATTACCGAGTCCTGACTTTTTTTTGTAGGACAGAGTGAGCACTCCGATCCAGGCACTGCCATTAGCTTCTTTTAAAGGCTCCTTATTCAGTCAGACAGCACTCAGACAGAGCTGCAGGGATGCCCTCCTCCCTATGGCTATGATATCTGATTAGGACTGGCTCTAGTGCAGGAGATATTCTCTGTGCAGGCCTTCCTCTCCTCTGACAGTGAGGCCTGGGCCCTAAAGTTTGAAATACATGTGAAGGGCTTTTGTTTGTATTTTTACAAAATGTAAACTTGATTATTTTATTGCTAATTTAAAAATAAATGACTTTATATTGATTGCAGAACTGTTCTGGGTCTATCTCCCTGCTTGGTGGTTTGGTGCCCTGGAAGAAATGTGGTTCACTCTCTGAGAGCCTTTGCTCTGGTGGGAAATAGGGAGACTTGGAATGTTGTCCAGGAGGCAGAAAGGCCGACACACAGATCCCTGTGGATCTGACTTGAATCTGTCAGCTGGAAACCTATCTGTGAACACTGGGCTTTAAGCCAGATCCATCCCTTTCCTTTGGTGTACCTTTCCCTTTGTACCTCTTTGATGTCTAGCTGTACCCACCTCCTTTTCGTCAGAAATGTGTCTCTGCAGTGATGTCGTTTCTCATGCGCTTTTTCTTTCCTTGTCTGGATGAGCAGAAGAAGATCATGATTATGATCTGTTGCATTATTCTCACCATCATCTTGGCTTCTACCATTGGGGGCGTATTTGCCTGAAAAAGGTGAGCTGTTTGGGTCAGGCCTGCTGCCACGCACCTGACACTAGTATTTGGGGTGCTTTTACTGGCTTGGGCACAGGACTAGAAGAAGGTTAGAGAAGACTGAGGAAAGGGATGTTTCAGAGAGAAGTGTGTAAAGATCAACTGAGAGCACGTAGACAATGACAGAGTCAGGGAGACAAGGCAGCAGTAGGTCCCATAATTGGCTCTGGTAGCACAATGCTTTGAACAGTGAGCAGTGTTCATTTCTGCTATAAAATCTGAGCCTTGGTATCTGGGGATGGCATGAGGAGTAAGAACTTTGGGCCCTGAACTCTTTGGAAGAGGAATACATAGTAACCCTGCATTAAATTCCCTTTCAAGATTAGGACAGGCTAGTGCAGCCCCGAGAGCAGTCTCTTACCCTGCAGAGGTGGCGATCCTGGCTGTGAGCACCATGCTACATAATCTGTGCTTTTTTCATTTTGTTTCTGCCTTCTGCCCTCACAGATGAATCCTCGACTGGTATTTCTGGTCTTCCTCCCACCTCTGTGCTGCCGTCGTTTCTCCCCTGCAGACTCCTCAGCTATGCCTCTTTTCATTAGGAAACCTTTGGCACCAGTCTACTGCTTATTAAATATCATACAAAGGGGAACAAACCACGAAGATGTGGGGTTGAAGGGGGGTAGGGATGAACAACTGGGAGCAAGGCAATAGCCAGCTGGTTTAAATGGCCCTTAAAGGGCACAGTTACAGGGTAGAAAAGCATAATGGGTCCCTACTTAGGGCACAGCACCGAGAGCCTGTGTGTCATCATGACATTGAAGAGGCAGGTACCAAAACACAGTTAAACAGGGTCTTACTTGAGCTGCTGTGGCCTACTTGAGACCATGGTACTTGCTGCTTCTGCCTTTAAAGCTCATTTAGGCCTCACCCTTAACCAACCATTGTCTGCTTCCTTCTACAGGGTCCAACAGTAGTTTTCACAGCAAAGACTGTTTAACGATAGGCACCGTATCTGTCTTGAACACTGCCGTCTTCCCACTGCTTAGCACAGTGCCTATCACTTTCATGTGCTCAGAGATCTCTTTATAGTCAACTTTGATGTCACTTGTGGATGAGTCCTTGGGCTTGACCTTAAAATTCTTTAAGGCATGTCTGGGAACATGGTTCATTACTAGCAGAGGTTTATGCAAAGACATAATACTGCCCCCAAACCCCTTTCTCACATATACTTTAAAACCACTTTAAAGTGGTTTTTCCTTGGGTGGTAAGTAGCAGTTGGGTTTCTATGGTGGTGTAGCATGCAATCAATGGCTTCTCATTGGCAAAAATGGCTGTTTCCAGGATGGTGGTTCATTAACTAAATACATCCCTCCAGAGAAAGACACAAGTTTATACTATGACTGAACTCCCCGCTGTCAGCCAGACCACTCTGTAACAAATGGGTGAAGGCACAAGGGGAGGAGGGAGTGTGAGATGCCTGCCTCAGCAGTCACCTGATCTGCACTGTCGGCTAAAACTGCAGGCCAGGGACTTCGGCGCAAAAAACTGCTTCAAACATGTCCCCAGTCCAAGGCTCCACTGTTTGGCTTTAAAGTTAAGCATGTAAATCAATTCTAAGGATAACTTTGTTTCTAAGAGGCGTACTAAAAATACACTGCGAATCAGTGTACAACCGTTGAGGACCAAAAATATGCCTTTGAAAGTAAACTAAATAGTATTGTCTTTGCTGGAGATGTTACTTTTTAAGAAACAAGATAAAAATGTTTTTATCAGTGTGCTGTTTTGTACCCACTTTCACAAGCAAGTTTAATGTTTCTATCAATTTGTGTTTCCTTTAGTTTGAATAGGGGATAGAAAACTACTGCTGGCTAGCTTGGAAAAATAGGTGTGGAATCACTCGGGGCTGTCATTCGTCCAGTGGTAATTTGTGTGCTGCAGCTGCAGTAGATCCTGCAGAGACACAGAGACAAACACTGCCTTCTCCTTAGTGAATGTCAGAACACCATGGGTTTCAACCTTTGTTACCAGTTTCTTATACTAAAAGATATATTCCTTGTCATGCTGCCCAGTCTCTTCCCTTCTAGGACTGAGAAGATGGGCAGCTGGGCACCAATAAATACGTGTTCAACCTACCAATCTAGGTGTTGTCATTTTTATCTTTAAGAAACGTTTGTGTTTTAAACAGTAAGTGTCATAAAAACCAGCCTCTGAAGTGTGTACACATCTGCATCTTGAGGTGTGAGATGCAAACACTTCAGTCCTAAAGACATTCTACAGCACATGAGCCCAGAGCTCCCACGTCTTAGTATCTTCAGCAATGACCAATGAGAAGTTGTGCCCTAAGGTTATGCTCAAGATTTTACTAAAAAAAATCAGGGAACAGTTCTTCAGAAGTCCTATAGGCTGCTCCTCCACCATGAACCAAGAGCTGCTTGAAGGCTTTAAGGACAACACAAATGTAGAATCCCATTCTCAATGGCCTATGCACATGGATCCCTAGTGCCCTCAACTACACACGTTCAGGCAGGTAGAATTTGCCCCAGTACCGCCCTTTCTGTGTCAAGTCGTAGGGGCTCAGGACTTTCCTTATGCCCAACATGTTGGCAGTGGCTATGTGCTCAAAGGTCCAGGGATTTTGGTTGTTCCGTTCTCTCTCCTTTTGATCTTGGTATATATTCTCTAGAGTCTCACGGCTCACAGCCTTTGCTGGAAAGGGCAACTTGTGGGCAACTTTGTCCAGGAAAGCTCGGACCTCTTCAAATTCACAGCGTCCACCCAACTCTACGATGAGGCGGCCAGCCTTCACGGGTGTCACATAGTGATCAATGGCACCTTTACCGCCCCCCATGCGCTGCCCGATGCTTTTGCGAGTGATTGGCTTGAAAGGGGCTGGAACTCGCCATATGGCAAACATGTTCTTGGGGTCCATAGAACGGTTGATTGTCAGGCGCATCATTTCAAAATGGCCCCAGTGGAGATAACCACCTCCCAATGCCTAAAATTGAACAGGAGAATTACAACACATGAGGATTTAGATATTTTTTATGAACTCTATCATTACTCCTCCTCCTCTATAGTAACTGTGGCTTCAATGATACACATGAAAATTTAAAAAAAAAATTTAATTAGTAATATTGAGGAAACACCCAGGGAGGACAGTGAGGGTGAAAAGCCCAGGGAAGCTTTCCTGAGGATGTCACATTTAAAGCTGAGGTCAGAATCATGTCCTAGAACTGGTCATGGAAAAAGATGAGCAGAGGAATGATGATATACAGACCCTGACAAAGCAAAGGGCTCAGTGAGTTTGAGTAGAAGCTATAGTGAGTGCAGGAGGAAGGTAAAGAAGGGGCAGAGGTTCTGAGAGGTCAGCACGGTGCTCAGACAGGCTGTGGGAAGAGGACTTTAAAATCTCACAGGCTGCCTAATATAAGCATAAGTCCTAGTGCACACCCGTTTCTGAAGCTACTGACTAGTCTTTACAGAGCCTACTCTGCAGGTACCAGCTGCTCTGCCATGAAGTCAGGGACACTCTAAACAGGCCTGAGAAGACCTCGCTCCGAATGGGGAAATTTGGCAGCCTCTTCATTCTCCTGCTTTTATTACTCTCCCTCACCCCTTCCTCAGTTTCACTTCCTATACTTTCAGTCAGCTAGTCTGAAAACAGTAGTGGGTACCTTGGAGTAGACAACGTGCAAGGTTTAAACTGCACATTATTTGGAACAGCAATGAACCACTTGGAACATGAACCTGTTGGTTTAGTGTATCTATGCTCTCCAGGCTACATGCCTACTGCTTACTTAAGAGTCCAGTGGGTTATCAGATCCACTGTCACAGCAACACAGGGCTTGTATATGGAATTCAGTGCTGCCCACGGTCTCAAGCATCCAGTAGGGGACTACTGTATTTTTAACCCTACATTAAAGAAAGATAACAACTCATACTTACTGAGTACTCAGTAGCCTCTACTACATCTATGTAAAGAGGAACTGGAATATGGTATCTGGGTGTGGCAGTTCTAATAAATGGAAGAAGAGACTACAATTCATTCAGAGTAGAATATTTTGTCACGTGTAGCTTTCATTACTCACCAAAATTGCGAAATTGCCCTCTGTGAATTCAGTAGCTTCAGCTGAAGGTCCTCGTATGTCACTCAAGTTTTTAGGTTCTCTTCTTACTTTTGGCACAAGTGGTACCCTTTCAACAAATTTAAGCTTGGGCCTCTCAGGAATGGTAACATCTAACAGGACCAAAGACAAGTGAGACTAAGTAAAGCTTGCTTCTCAGGGTCTGCATCCTTCCTAGAGAGACCCCACCCATGAAGTGAAAGTTGTTATTGAATAATTCCAAAGGTCTATTAATTCTTGTGGGTGTTTTCAGTGATACTGGAATCGCTTGGCTTTAACAATGCTTAATGCAAATGTTTCTATACCAAATTCACTTTTAACTCCCTATTCTACATTCAGCACTTATAATATGGACTGTTTAGAAATAATTTTATTCAATCTTTAAAAGAATTTTATAGCTTTATTACTTTGCTTGTTTTTGAGACAGGGTCTCATAATGTAACCTCAAACTTATGAGAAGTGCTGGGTTATATGTGCATGTCACCATGCCTGGCAGCCTTTGTATGTTCTCAGGGCTTTCTTCTTTTCTTTCCTTCTTTTTTTTTTAAAGGCAGGGTCTCTCTGTAGCCCCAGCTGGCCTGGAACTCACTAGACCAGGCTGGCCTTAATCCCACAGAGATCTGCTTGCTTCTGCGTCCAGAGTACTAGGACTAAAGGTGCGTTTAAAAGTTTGAACTTTTAAAATTTTAAAAAATTTTTTCATTTTATGTGTATGAGTGTATTGCCTGCATGTATGTAAGGGCATCTGTGTCATGCAATGCCTGTGGAAGTCAGAAGATGGCATTGGATCCCCTGGAACTGGAGTTAGGATGTTTGTTAGCCACCATGTGGGTGCTGGAAATCAAACCTGGATCCTCTCCAAGAGCAGTCAGTGCTCTTCACCACTGAACCATTTCTCCAGCTCCAAAAGTTTGAACTTTTGAAAATTTAACTCATATACTGAAAGGACAAAGCAGCCTGCGATATGGCACAACTGGTAAGGGTGTCTGCTGCCAGGCTTGCCGACCTGAGTTGGCTCCCTAGGACTCACATGGTGAAAGGAGAGAACTTGCACAAGTTGTCCTCTGACTGCCACATGCATATCTGTGTACCCCTACACATACATATATACAAAATAAAATGTAAAAGAAAAAAAAAGAAATTGAAAATAAGAATACACATAATTTTTGCTTAAGGTCAAAACAGATCAGGGGGCAGGCAGTATTTCTAACCTTCATTTTATAGAAGAAACTAAGGCACAGAGACATTTTACAATTAATTCAGTTAAAACATCAAAGCCAGGCAGCTTGTTCTTAAAAAAAAAAAAAAAAAAAAATCACTACCTCTCTGGATGCTAATGGGAACATAAAAAAAAAAATCTTCAACTGTGCTGTATTTTTCTTGGGGAACTTACAACCTAGAAATCCTCTGATCAACACATTTTTTATGTACAGAGGCTTTTTATGCTGACAGCAACACAATTCCTATGTATAACTGTCCTGGGTGCTGGGTGACAGCATGTAAGTGTCCTGTGTGAGACATACGACATCTTTACTATCCTTATTTGGCAATTTGGGACAAATGATTGTGATTCCTTAAAAAAAAAAAAAAGGTATGGCTCCATGATAGAAATAAAACAGGAAGCTTTATGGCTATGTAAAATTATTAGTGGAATTATAAAACCACTATTCCAAGTTACAGAAACTACCCCCTGCTACATCCCTTCTATAAGCAGCCACAGAAAAACCTGGTCATATTTTCTTTCATCTACAAGTTAGTATGCACCACTAAGAGAACACAGCAGTTTTAACAATTACATGTGTAAGACCCTCAGATGTCCAGGCCTTTTGCATTTTTTTGAAGTTTAAAGTATATTAGAGTAAAACTAGATTTACAAGGTTGTGGCTTATCTGAAATATTTATAGCTAATAAATTAATGTTTTTCAGCTAATACTGCTAAATGACTGGGTTTATTATGTTTTAGAGAGAAAGAAGATCAGAAGTACAAATTTATGACCAATTAGCTCTGACAGGGAAGGTCATGGGCAACAGAGCAGTGGGGGAGCTAACCTGAGAGCAAGGAACGTTTTTATGGCTGCTTTTGTCCTTTACCTTGTGTTTAGAACGCTGCTTGGCAGTGCAGTATATACACCTCAAATGGGGATATACATATATAAATAAATAAAATATATAAACAAAATATACATTTATTGACTGACTGGAGACAGGACGCTCAGGAGCATACCTGTCTTTTACCGTCAGCTGCTGGGTTTCATCAAAAAAAAAAAAAAAAAAAAAAAAAAAAAAAAAAAAGGATGGCGAGATGGCTCAACCTTCAAAAGCTGGCACTGGGAGCAGCGTCTTTAAGCCCGCACTGCTAGGAAGGGTTGCCCAAGAATCTAAAGAAAAGCAAAAGCAAGTTAAAGTAGCACGGCGACAACGTCAGGGACTGACCCCTCCGGACCAGGTGTCTAGAAAGGTGGGCCCCCGCAGGAGCCAGCCAGCGGTCCGGGCCCATCCCGGACCTGACTGCGACGCCTGAATCCACGGTGGAAGTGGGGGCTGGAAAGCCCAGCCCTGGTCAGGGATAAAGCAAGCGTGTATCTAGGAGCCTGCTTGGAGCCATACTGCATTGCAGGGCGGAGGAGGAATGGGGAATGCCTTCTCTAAGGATCACACGGGGTTTCTGACCTGACAACTGCACCCTCAGGAGCTGCGCACGGGCGCGCGCCAGCAGCCTCCACATGGTCACGCGCCTGCGGCCGAGCCGGGCTCCCCTCGGCGGCTACAGCGGCTTCCTTCTGCGACTCCTGGAGCCCGGCTGGAATCCACTCTGGGCGCCGCTCAGCCGGACCGGAAACTACATTCACGCGGGTCCGTCCTTCATAGAGTCCCGCCGGAACCGGAGAAAACCCGAGCTCCACAACTCGGTTCCGGCGTTGGTTTCTGCGAGTAGAAGACCCGATAGTCCAAGCCATGCCTGGACGCTCCTTGTCTCCTGTGCTTTCTGGGTTTTCTCCTTTGAGTACAACTTTGTGAAAGCCTGAGGTTTGCTAGGCAAGTCGTTTCCTCACCATTTACTTCCTTATGTCTGTCCTCTAAGGGAAAGACATTAAAGTAACTTGTCATTGGCTTATTTAGTGGGCGCTTGCTGAATTTGGTCCCAAGAGTCCATAAGAATTGTAGCCCGGCTTTTTAGTGCAAAAGCCCAGGCTTCCTTGGGTAATGTCAACAAGGTTAAGGTCTGTCATCTGCCCTCAGTACGCCAATTAAAGAGACAGAAATGATGAAAAGCAGTGATTTATTTAATGTGGCTTCATTAGGAAGAAGAAATGAAGGCGTCCAGTGACCCTCCAAATCCATCTTCATGGTACTGAGCATGAGCTTTAAGTTTAAAAGGAGAATTGATCATTGTCTCAGTTCTGGTTTGGCAAGTTGGTCATCTTAGGTTGTCACAGCTTGGCAGGAACAATCTGGTTCCCACAAGATGATCACTTTGTTTCAAGGTGAAGCCTGTCTGCCTGGATGAATACCCTCACAGGGGTGGGGTGGGTGCAGGGAATGTTCTTGCCCGTCAAGGTTTTACACTTCAGGAAATTCAAGAGGAAAGGTTAAGGACAGCGACTTATCTCTATGCCTTCTGCCAAAGTAAAGACAGCAAAGGCAGAGATGTCAGGCTTTCATCCTGCTTTTATTTATCTTGTGAGGTCAAGTGACGAGTCAATGCTTTTTAGTAAAAGTAGTTTCTAAGTGGCTGTTTCAAAGTCATTATAATTATTTTGCAGTTCTCACCAGGTTAATGGATTTAATTTTCCTAGTATTACAATGCAAAATTTGAGCAGTCTGTGTGATTTCAGAGGACCACAGCATAAATTATCATTAAGGGAAAATGAAGCAATGTATAATTATTTAGGGAGACTGTTGAGTAAATAATTTTTATGAGCCTGAAGCTTTCTAATAATTAGAACGAGAGGATTTGTATCCAAGCTTTTAGGAATTACAAATTACAAATGGAATTAGCAAATGAGACTGATGTCTGTTGTGTTTAAGTCATGTTAAATCTGTATATGTTTCCTCAAGAATTAATTTTACAAACAGTAGTAAATATAGTGCTTTCAGAGATACCAGGAAAACTGCTCACAATTCTGTGTACCTACATAATTAATCTGCTTCCAAAATGTTAATGGACTTAAACACCCAATGATGTCATTTTAACTTGTTTATTTTTGTAAAGACCCTATCTCCCAAAAAATGAGGCATGTCACACTTTGAAGGACTATGTAGGGACTGGGAGTCCAATATATCTTTTAAAAATGCTTTTATTGATTCTTTAAAATTCTTTTGATTTATTTTCATTTTGTGTGTGTGTGTGAGTGTATTGCCTGCATGTATGTAAGTGCACCTGTGTAGTGCAATGCCCTCTGAGGTCCTGGAACTGGATTTACAGATAGTTGTTAGCTGCCATGTGAGTGTTGGGAACTGAACCCTAGTCCTCTGCAAGAGAAGCTGGTGCTGTTAACCACTGAGAAATCTCTCCAGCCCCAAGATATTTTCATTGGTTCTTTGAGGATTTCATCAACATATTTTGATCCTATTGAGACCCCCTACCCCATCTCCTCACATATCCACACCCACTTCCTCTCTCATTTATATCCTCTACTACTTTTTCTGAGGTGTATTGAGTCTAATTTATATTCTCCAAATACCATTGGGTGTGGGAAATCCAACAATCTTTAAAAAATTTGACATCTCTTTAAAATATTCAAAATCTTTTCACCATGGGCTCCTGTAAATAAAATGAATTACATACTTTCTTATTTCAAAAGGGAAGATAAAACAAAACACCAACATCCACCAGAAGAGGCAACACCACACAGGTGAACACTAGGGGCCCATGCTGGTACCTGGCACCTATTTGAATGACCCCTACAATTAGTGGATCTTCCTTGGAGCCCCACTCTGTGTGTGCAAATAAAAAAAAAGCCACCTCAAAACACATCTATGACCTCAAAGGAAATAAAACATAGCCTGAGCCCAAAACAGATTGGAAGTTATCCTAAATACCATGCTCCAGCCTGTAAACTGTTTCATGAACAATTTAAAGTTGTAGAACATCAGCAACAAGACAAATCAAGGCACTTTTCAAATACACTGGTAGAACATCAAGTTGGAGGATTACAAAAAGAGGGACCATCTCTGTGAGAGGACTCAATAGTACCTGATGATAGTCTTTGGCTTGGCAGAAGCTATTGATCTCTTAGTACACTAAAAAAAGACTTTCTAATAGTCACAAGGATGTTAGGCCAAATACAGAGGTGGGCATTGAATGGCTGTAAGAAGGCTGAAGACAGCCTGCAACATGGACATTCTCACAAGCCAGTCAACACTGTAGAATTTTTGACACAGGTGAGTCTTTTTTCCTGGGAATATTAGTATTTGGTAGTAATGTCTTTTTTTGTGTGGTAATCATTCTTGAATGTCGGCCTGCTGATGTAACAAGGGTGTCTACAGGAAATGAGACCATGCTGCAGCAAAGGTTCTCTTGGCCTTATCTTACACTGCTGTATTATGGCCCAGTTGGTAACTCATAGTAATATCTTTGTTTACACAGCACAGAGGCAGTTTGGTAACTCTTGGAAGGCGTTTTTAGCCTCAGCGATATATGATGGCTTCTCTTCATTGTCAACATGACTGAATTTATAATCACCATGGAAATACCTCTAGGTGTGTCTATGAGGGTGAGGAACTGTGGCGGTAAGAGTAACTCTGAGTTGGGAGTCCCACACTGAACTTGATGGAGAAAGAGAGCTGAGCACCATTATTCATCTCTTTTTCCTGACTGTGGATGCAATGAGGCCACTTGCATAATGGTCCTGTGGCCATGCCTTCCTAAAATACAAGCCCAAATCACCCCCCTTGTGTGTGTGTGTGTGTGTGTGTGTGTGTGTGTGTGTGTGTGTTTGTAGGTCATGAAAGTAGGAGGGGGATCATGGTAGGGGAAAAAGAGGTCTTTTAAAATATTTTATCCATTTTTATTTTATGTGTATGAGTATTTTGCTTGTATGATGTAAGCGTACCATGTCCACAGAGGCCAGAAGAAGGCATTGAATCTGTGGAACTGGAGTTACAGTTATTAGCTGCCACATGGGTGCTGGGAACTGACCTAGGTCCTCTGCAAGAGCAGCTAGTGCTCTTAACTGCTGAGCCATCTTTCCAGTCATGGAAAAAGAGGTCTTAAGGGAGATTTGGGAGGGGAGAAAAAGAAGGAAAAGAGATGGCAACATGATACATGTGACCTGAAAACAGAAAGGGAATAATGTGAGAGAAGGAAGGGGACCAGGAGGAAGGGGGACCAGGAGGAAGGGGGACCAGGAAGAAGGGGGACTAGGGGGAAGGGGGACCAGAGGGAAGAGGGACCAGAGGGAAGGGGACCAGAGATAAGGGGACAGAAGGAAGGGGACCAGAAGGAAGAGGGACCAGAGGGAAGGGGACCAGAGATAAGGGGACAGAAGGAAGGGGACCAGAGGGAAGGGGACCAAAGATAAGGGGACAGAAGGAAGGGAACCAGAGGTAAGAGGACAGAAGGAAGGGGACCAGAAGGAAGGGGGACCAGAGGGAAGGGGACCAGAAGGAAGGGGCCTAGAACGAGGGGGGCCCATAAGGAAGGGGGACCAGAGGGAAGCAGACCAGAGGTAAGGGGACAGAAGGAAGGGGACCAAAAGGAAGGGGGACCAGAAGGAAGGGGACTAGAGGGAAGCAGACCAGAGGTAAGGGAACAGAAGGAAGGGGGACCAGAGGGAAGGGGACCAGAAGGAAGGGGCCCAGAAGGAAGGGGGCCCATAAGGAAGGGGGACCAGAAGGAGGGGGACCAGAGGGAAGCAGACCAGAGGTAAGGGGACAGAAGGAAGGGGACCAGAAGGAAGGGGTACTAGAAGGAAGGGGCCCAGAAGGAAGGGGGACCAGAAGGAGGGGGACCAGAAGGAAGGGGACCAGAAGGAAGGGGCCCAGAAGGAAGGGGGCCCAGGAAGGGGGACCAGAAGGAAGGGGACCAGCTGGAGGGAAGCAGGGGTTTGGGAGTGAGGAGTAGGGGAAGAGGATCAACGAAATGAAGTAGAGATCGAATTCCATCATGAACCCCAGTCCTTTGTATATGCATTAAAAAAGAATTTGCCTATTTAAAAAAACTGCTTATTAGGCATGTATTAAATATATTAATTCCTGTCTAGGTGTATATGTTACTGTTCCACTGGACTCCAAAAAGACCACCGAGGACCCAACACACCAAAATGCAAAAGCAAAGGTTTATGGTTTATTCGGGCTTAAGCTCGGGCTCTCAGACCTCACCAACTCAACGGATCCGTGCTGAGAGCCCAGAGTAAGGGAGAGTGGAGCCTTTTATAGGTTTTAGACAAAGAG